TCATTCAGATTTTCCCAAAAATTCCAAACTGCAAGTCGTAAAAGCACCATCAATGTACACATTAAAGCCTTAAACTCAATTTGAACAGAGGTGTAACTTGAGTATGGGGAATGAGAATTTGAGTGAATGTGATTGCGTAAAGCTATCCTTCCTTCCATCACTCTTCATCCAAAATCGAAGACGACATCATTTAAAAAAGTACGACAACATCCTCTACCTCTTTGTTTGTCTTGAATTTATCCATTGTCGGGCTTGGACAGCCCATTCTGATGACAGGCAGTAGGCGGAGCCTTGGGCGAAGTCAGAGTAATGCATTTATGAGACATTAGATCTCCGATGCTTAAATCCTCGATCCAGGGAAAAGCGGCGTGGCTTTGGGAACTCCTGCTACGTAGCCTAAAAGCGACTATTTCCACATTTTGATACTAAATATTCTTCCATCAGTTATTGATGCAATTCGAAAACGCAAGGCCTTCACATTTGACAACGGCGAAGTACTGCTGTTGAGCACGAGCAGTTTCTTGTCAGACTGGGCAATTCTAACGCCCATCATGTATCACAATCAACTGAGACATTTATGAATTGTCATGACCTCATCTATCGCCGCAAGCAACAGATGACCTAGCAAACTTCCTTAAAGCACAGGGCCAATATCAATAGTTACAACTTGACTTTATCTTGTATGTAACCAAAAATGATGAAAGCTACGATAGATACTTACGCAGCAGAGTACGCCTTTTCTCAGTTGGTAGACCAATACAGTAGATGGAATGCAGCGATTCATAGCTCATTGTGAAATCTTCCTAAGAGTTCCCTTAAATTTCCATTTTCTTGCTGAGCTGCTATAAATATTTTAAATACGTAAAGATATGACACTAATATTTGACCGGAATATAATGATGATACATTGTGTAGATTACAATTTGTATGCCCATTTCCTCGACAAATTTTACGCGTAACTTCGCAGAAGAAATTTACGAGAAACACGAGCTGTAGACTCAGTATAGCTATTAACCTCATTCTATAAACCCGACAAAATTAAAAAATTTGAAACAAGTAATTCAAAAGCAAAGCGAGTCGATCATGCTATGCTCTGCCGTAGGAGCGTAACGCATCGTCTTTGCACAACGTACCTTCCACT